ATCATAAAGATTTCAAGCACTTACCCCAGTGACGGTAAATATCGTTTGAGGACAGCGATTTATAATCGTGTTCAAAGCTTCCATTTTGACGATTTATTGTTGCTGGTTTTATTTTCGTTCTTCATCAACTTTTCTCAACAATTCCGTTATCCACCACAATGTCCCTACGATTCAAGTAATTTAACCTCACTTGGGAAATTCTTGTGATCAAAGTTAAAGGACGTTAATGGAAAAAAGGTGGAAGATTTTCCTTTGTTTTATAATCGTTCATCTATTCTTTTCAGCAGCTAATTTGCAATGGCCATTTAACCTTCCCCAGTTTTTTCCTCTAAAATGAAATTATAGACTTCTTTCGATCTTTTCATAAAAAAATCCTTTGGTTCTATGATGTTTCTTCACATGTAAACAGTTTCGACTGGAAGAGAATATTTTTGTTAAGGTTAAAATTTTGGGTGTTTTTTGGTTATTAATATTGTTAGCCCTTTTTAAATTTAGTTTGTTCCCTCGACCTTTCTACACAAGGATTTGGTGATGCTGACTATCCTGTCATATTGCGATCAACTTTCCCCATAACCTTGATTCTGGATTGCTCTTCCCTCATTTCTATTAGGAAATTTCAAAGGGCAAAAGTTATTAATTTTTTTTTACGTGTGGATCGAAGTTATCTACTTTCGTGTTCTTTTCTAGAATTAAAAAACTCGCGGTTGATAGAACCTTTGTGTATTGAACTTAGAACTGTTATAGATTGAATGGATAAACACATAATTTCGGATGAAAATGGCAGAAGGAAATTTTAACCTTCGAACGGCTGTGCTTAGAGATCTTAATTGTAATTCTTTCAAAATAAAAAGAAAGTTGAGCTTGACCCAAGCTCAGCCATAGTCAAGATAACACTGCTTTTAATATTGAAATTAATTCAATTTAAATTGTCGGCATAAAATTGTGGTCGGCAGGTATCGCTCTCCCGGTTTCACACTAGAAACTTCTAAGACTATTGTTTATTTTATTAAAACGACTTCTAAGTTGCCGTCCAAAGCTGAAAGAAAAATGCATTTGAATTATTCCAATTAACAAGTTTTAGATGATTGCGACCGCCTTAGGTCCCGTTTGAGATTAATTTTAAAGCCTAATTTTAAATTATATATATATATATATATAATTTAACTCCAGTTAATTAAAGTAATTCTTTTTATTATATGGACCGTGCTTTTTATTTTGTAATTTTATTCGTTTTGAGATTTAACAGAATTTTTTTGGGGGAAACATTGTTTTGGATAGTGATTTTTTAGAAAATGTGTGGTTAAAAAATAGGAAATTTTTTTTAGTTTTACGCTTTGAATATTTTATTATATAAATGTGTGGTTGAAAATGAGTATATAGAAAAATAGTTAAGATTTGCTGTCCAAAATTGATTGTCCAACTTACTGTCCACTAATGATTTATTTACACATAATTTTACACATATTTTTAATCACAAGTGGCAGTGAGATAAAAGTTGGACATGATAATTTAAAGTGATTTTGTCAATGAATCATTAGACAGACAGCAAGTTAGATAGTCAATTTTGAACATGAGATTTTAACTCGTAAAAAGAGAGTTTTGAAAAAGCAGGAGACAAACAGAAACTTTGTAATTGTATATAGACAAATCAATATATCACTTTATTCACCAAATGATAAAATGCTGATTAACGTTGAAACAAAACTTCATCAATAATTGATTTTTTCCTACAGTCGATTTCTTTTACAGCACAGTAAAAAAAAAATTATTCTCTTAAAAAGAACAACAATACCAAATAAAGTCTCAATGTAGTAAGTACAAATGCCAACGTATATTTTCATGAAAGGATAATGCTTACCACGTAAGCAAAGTAGATACATGTGTCAAGAAAGAAAAAGCACTACATCTGCATTGTTAGCGGAAATGACCTACCTTCTGTACCTAACAACCAATCATAAGTCGTGCTGTTCTTCCTTGTTCTCGATGATTCCTGATTTATTTTTCAATTCATGACAACTAATTTGCAAAGATAGTGGGGGACAAGACAACCTCATAAGATTATTATTTTATTTTGATTCTCCACTAATAACCTATGCATAAAAAGAAACTGCTTAATTTCACCAGAGGTCCCTGAACTTCATTGAATTTGCATCAGCAATTATTTTTCAATGTGACGACAAAAACTAAAACTGAACAAATCGTTGCATGTCTCAGATCACATTTAATGCTATCAAGTTCCAACTTGCCAAAAATGAAAACTTAAAACATACAACTAACAAATTTCACCTCACTTCACATTTCTCATATAATCCCTTTTACAATTGTTGGCAAACTGTCCGTAACCATAAAAATATTCATAGAAAAGGAAATCCAGCCATAAACACACATAAATCAAGAAAAATAAATCAATTAAAATATACTCAAAGTAGAACATACGCAGAAAACCAGTAATCTTCTCCAGTGGGAGAAACTTAGGCCCTCAACTTTTGTTTACTGTTTCTTTGAACCTTACAACAAGCCTGCCCTTTTTTGTTGAACAGACAGAATAACATTAGCTTAATATTACAGTGAAGAAAACAGCATTGGCCATTAACAAATTATTCAACTGTTTCCTGTAAATATTCGAACTTTTCTATTGATTTTCAGGACAATCCGGCAACCTGCCCTTTCGACTGGTAAATCAAATCATTCAGCTTTGGCGTGAATTTCTCCTTCCATATATCACGTCCACGTCCACTTCTTTTCACCTCCACCACCACCAGCTCCTCCGTTAACCGGTTAATCTCCACCATAACGGTGAAATTCCCCTGCAGTCTTATCCCCTTTCCCTTCTTAGTCACCTTCATGCCTTCCTCTTTAGCCACCTCCTCAATTCTCTCAATTATTCTCTCCGGTGATTCGGCTGATATGAACATTTCACTAGTAACACGATTAGGATTGTTATTGAACAAACCGGACAGATCAACACCGGAGGAATGCGATATAATATCGAATGCATTCAAGAACTTATTCCCCTCCATGTCACCACCAGAATCCTTGAACTCGAACTCATTATCAACCGGGTATTTGATTTCCTTGTACCCCTTTTTGAACCAGGGGTCGTTCACGATCTCATTAACTGAAATCCGGGTAATCGGGTTCGGGTCCAGGATTCGGGTCAAGAACCGTTTTAAATCGGGTGAGATCCATTTGGGACACCGGAATTCACCTTTGTAGATTTTCCTGTACATCACCATCAAATTCGGGTCGTTGAACGGCAAATAACCCGCACTTAGCACATACAGTATAACCCCACAAGACCATACATCAACCTTGGCGCCATCGTAACCCCTTTTTGCGAGGATTTCCGGCGCCACGTAGGCTGGGGTTCCACAAAGGGTGTGTAGGAGGCCGTCGGGTCGGATCTGATCCGTCAAGGCACTGAGCCCGAAATCCGTGACCTTGAGTTCCCAATTCTCGTCCAGCAACAGGTTTTCCGGTTTCAGATCACGGTGGAAAACGCCGCGTGAGTGGCAATAACCTATTGCAGAGATCAATTGTTGGAAATATTTGCGGCTGAGGTCCTCGCTGAATCGGCCTTTCACGACTTTCGCGAATAACTCGCCGCCCTTGGCAAACTCCATGACGAAGTAGATCCGTGTCTTGGTCGCCAAAACCTCGTGGAGGCGGACGATGTGGGGGTGGCGCAGCCAGCGCATGATAGAGATCTCCCTCTTGATATTCTCCGTGAGATTTCCCTTGAGGATCCGCTGCTTGTTCACCACCTTGATCGCCACGCTCTGGCCCGTTCGCAAGTCCCGCGCGTGGTAGACCTTGGCGAAGGCTCCGCATCCCAGGAGCCTCCCTAGCTCGTATTTCTTAAACAGGTTGACGCTGGCCTCCTCCGCACCTCCGCTGCCACCAGCAGCACCGGCGGCTTCCCTGATGGCTTCTGGTGGCAGTAAATTACCTTCTTCATCGATGATCTCTGGCATAACTTGATCCAGAGACCGCTAATACGTCGCCCCTCTCCAATTTCTCTCTGTCCCGCATTAATTAATCGAGCAAAATTTGCTCGACAAAGATAAAATCACCAACAGGGCTGGAATATAGAAAAAAAACTCAAAATAAAAAGAGCTATCAATTATTGAACCCAATGAATCAGACAGGGGTTTGTTGATAAAAATCGAAAAGGGACGAAAATCAACAAATAATCCTACCAAAACTCAATCATTTTTTTCTTTCTGCAATTGATGTTCCAAAAACAAGGAGGAAATCAGATGACTGCTGAGAATTTAGGAAATCTAAACTGACAATTTCAATTTGCAGAAAAGTAAAAAGAAAAAGGAAAGAGATACAGGTCTGTGGCGAAATGGAAATGGCCGAATTGGATTGCGGAATCGGAAAATCGGATTCTCTCTCGAAAAGTCTACAGGAAAAGGGAAATTACGGACTATTATTTGAAGGATTTCCCTAAAAGCAGTCTATTATTTTACATTTTATACTTAATTTTTATATTGCATTATGCGTTTAACATGTTTACTTAATCGAGTATTTGATACGCATTCGATGTCAATTATTTGTTAAGTTTATAATTTTAAATTTGTATGTCAATTATCTACCATATTTCTATTCCACTCTTTCATTTTATTTTTTTAGTAAAGTCTGTCAATTTTTTTAATTCCAATAATCTATTATTAAACTCTTAGTCTTGGATTAATTTTGATTTAGGTCTCTACCTTTCAATACGTGTTTACATTTTACGGCAATCTTTTGAAATTGTGATTTCTCAATCGGATGGCTAGGTGTCCTAAAAGTTACTTTTAAGCTTTTAAATATCACTACTTACTAGTAAACTTACGGCTGTACTTTTTTGTATTTTTGTCCAATTTTTAGTGTAGATTTTTAGATTATAGTTTTGAGTAATATTAGGGGTGTCAACGAACTAAACTGGGTCGAGCCACGAGCTGAAATTTTAAAGTTGGAGCTCGATTCGAGTAAAAATGGTTCGAGTTTTTTTTTTGCTCGAGCCGAGCCGAGCTTTTGTTCGACCAAAAAATTTAGGTTCGATCCGAGCTTTCGGCTCGTAAACTCGAGGCTTTACGAACCGAGCCGACTTGATTTTTTTCTTTTTCTTTTATTTTTTTATATTTAAACATAGTTGCCTGAAAATGGGGCTCGGCTCGGACTTTTTCGAGTTGAGCCACGGACGACTCGTGTCAATGAGCTATTTTGCCATCCTTAAGTAATATCAAAGAAATTAGTAATTCTTTCTCATCAAAACTGTACTAATAATTAATTAATTACAAGGTTTCCCAAATTAATCAAATTGTATAAAAATGTTTGGTATGGAGTTAGGACATCTGTCCCTACTCCCACGTTGCTTCTCAATACAAAAAAACCAACCACCCATAAAGACAATAATATTACAGAATATTAATTAATTAGTTCTTATTTCCAAATTGTGTACAAATATTTTATTTATTTATTAGATGAGATACTAATTTATTAGATGAGATGAATTTTAGAGATTTTAAAAATTTTCTTATTTAATTTTTCTTTGATTGTGTCGGTAAACTGTACAGTGAGAATATATTGTAAAAAATAAACTTCATGAATTATTTATGTTATAATTTCAAAAAGAGATTAGCTGTCCGTACAATATGTTATTTTATGTTTTCTTTGATTATCCATGCTTATCTAAATTATAACTTTTACCTATCAAGGCAACTAGCTATAGGCCTAGGTAGGTGATAAACTTAAGGAGTAAAGCCAAATGTACGGAATAGTATTTCATAGAAGTTTTACCAATACACACAAGGGTGAGGCCCACTGTAATAAAAAATGAAAAAAAAAAGCCCCATCCCCCTTGCATTTGTGAGTATCTGTGAACCAACCACCCCACCTCCGTATGAACCTCCTTCTTAAAGCCAAACATGGTTCAAACTTAAGAGTTATGTGCCCCTATATTTGACTACGAGAGAAGCCAAGGTAGTCAAGCCAAGTGACAGATGGCAGAGAGCAAACAATACAAACAATGAAAAAAAACGTATCTTTCTATGTGTAGAATATATTGAATCATACCCTTCGAGGGTGATCGAGTTGGTGGGGCAGGTGAACGCGGAGATCCAAATGTCACGAGTTCGAATCCCTTGCCAACACTTCCTTGGTCAAGCTCGTCGCACTAGACTTGCCCAGTACGATTTATCTATCCCATGTGGGTTGCGGACTATTGCACATGGAGTGAGATTTATCTAGTGGGCACTCACAGTGGTCGAGCCTCCGCCCCTTCGGCGTGGTCGGGGCTCCGCGGTGGGTAACGGTTGCGGGTTCCTATGTAAAAAATAAATAATATATATATTGAATCGAACAATGTTCCAATTCCACGAGAGTGATATTCATTGCGCATCGTTGAGTTGGTAAGATGATCGTCTTGAAACACATTTTATAATTTTTTTTCTACTTCATATACATTGTTTTTACCTTGGTGTTGTATTACGAAAAGACACATTATTGAAATGAACTAATCGTCACAAATGTTGTCTCCCATATTTGTTCATGTCATTTTGATTTTGATGATTGAGTTTGCTCTAAAGGGAGCAAATAATGAAGAGTAGTTTATGCTAGATTTGCACTTGTGAGCATGCAAGTTTGCACTACTATTTGTATGAGGTGCTCTCTTTTGATAATATAGTTGTAGATCGCTTGAATTTTAACTTTTTACATTTTTTTTATATGTTATCTGATACAATAAGCTATCCAAATCTATTAAAAGAACAACTCGATCATGTTCAAAGGGTCCCTTGGTAAGTACGCTTTTTTGGTTGCACTACAAATGATTTTAAATGAGTATGTCACGATCATTATCTAGCCGAAATGTCAAGATAAATCTCATAATTATTCTTGTGATATATTACAGATGATCAGTGTAATTACTTGTCACGTCAACTTGACGATTAATCTACCTTAAAATGAACCAGCATTTATTTGGAAAATCCAACATAATCAAACAATGATAATCATTGAGAGGGGTGTAAAACATTGTGTAAAAAATTGTGTACACATAACTTTATTCTTACTTGTCACGTCAACTTGACGATTAATCTACCTTAAAATGAACCAGCATTTATTTGGAAAATCCAACATAATCAAACAATGATAATCAGTTTTTTTTTTTTTCTTAATCTACCTTGTTTAAAGTGACTTGGGAGGACAAGCTATCACGAGTGTCATGTACTCTGTCCCCCCCTCTCCCTTCTATTTGGGATAAGATGGGAGATAATACATTCAAGAATGGTCCCATATGGATTGAGTTTGCATTTTGCTTTCAAGAAAAGAGACTGCCTCTCCCTATATGTGGATGGCATTAAAGTCCAACTCAAAACGTAAACTCAACCACAAAGAAAAAAAAAAAAATAAACTACTTTCGTTCTTTTCAAGCATCCACATCCCCCAGATATCTTTCAATTTTAAGATATATTCCTTTAATTTTGGAACTAGAAAATAAATCATATTTCACCTCTCTACTACGGTGGGGATTAAAATTAATTTTTTGGTAAATTTTGATAAAATTTAATGAAATATACAGTCGAAAAGTTGTAAATTCCATAAAATATGTGGTTAAAATTAATTATTGACTATAACTTAAATTAAAATTTTAATTTTAATTTTAATTTTTACAAAACAGGAGTTTAATATCCTTTTTAATATATTTATTGTTGATGCTGTATAAAGGAGGGAGATTCATTGCTGTATATACGTAATCTATATTTATTCATTTTTGCATTTGGGAGGGGTGCTCGTGCTTGTGCTGGTCGGTGTCGAGTATTCCTAAATGATTTGAAAATTCATGGGCTTCTAGAAGAGTTTGGTAGGCAAGGCAAAGGGATTAGCTCAAAATATATAATTTATGATAAGTAAAACCAATTAAAATAATTTATAATAATCCCCATATCTAAATAATATATATATTTTTTTCTGAATGTAATCTTAATTATCTTTTTGTAGAGCGGTGGGATGTTTCACTAACATGTCCAGCTATTCAAAAGATGAAAAGATCCAACAAAAATTGAATGTGTTACCTTAGAATATGGGAAAAAAAGAACATGATGAAGTTGTTTGAGACGAGCAAATTGATAAATTTTCTTGAAAAGTAACATGAGCATGACTTTGATATCAAAAGAGTTGGAGCATCTCTAATGCAACTGTAAATTACTTAAAAATTGTTTTACACAAGTAAAAGTAGATAACGTGTCGGCAATGGGCTTCTAAAAATTTCTTGAGTTTGTGAAGTTTTCCGACAAAGATCGATCATGAAAATGGGTGCACAAAACCGAGATTTATTAATTATATATCCACCAATGGATTTGTCCAAAAAAATTGATTTGTTTGCTCCCTCGTGTTGTTGGCAACATTCACTAGTTTTTTGGGACAAATCAATCCCATATGAAGTAGAAACCCAGCTACACGAATCACGAGAAAAATGAAAATCAAGGGGAAACCAATTTGTAAATTAAAGTGTATTGCTAAGAAGGAGGGCAAGGGGCTGGAATCTTCATTTTTCGGAAGCAACATTGAAGCCCGTCCACCAACCAAAAAAATAGCATCAACAAATAGCTGAGCCTCCTAGCTATTGCTGCAAGTAGCTGCTACCACGGTCAGATGAATGTTTTCGGCATCCACGGAGTGCTACATCTCCATGTTCTTCACAGTCATGGCAGCGGATTTTGTCTAAATAATAATAATAATACAAACTTTCCCAAGTTTAGGAAATGGTTATCTATGTTTTGAGTTGTTGTGGGAACGAGGGAGGGAAGAGGATGAAGTTATTTTTGTTTTTGGTTCTGATTTTTAATTATTTGTTTCGGACTCATTTGTAATTTTTGAAAACTTTGGGTCTGGTTGCAATTAGTTATTTATTTATTTTTTATTTAAATAAGAGGGTATATTTGTTATTTCACATGTTTTTAAGAGAAAATTGAGGAAAATGATGTTT